CACTGGAGTCCCTGCAGTCAACGGTTCTTGGTCTCCCGCAGAGTCAACCCTGCGTTGCGCAGTTCTCAACGGCCACGTTGCGCAGTTTCGCCCGATTAGACACGTTCTCTCGCGCGAACATTCACACTCGCATGCTCGAGCCGTCTGTGTCTCCGCCCATACAGCGTGCGTTGAGGATCTCTCAACGTGCCGAACTGCGCAACGCAGGGTTGACTCTGCTCCCGACTTCGATAGCTCATTGCCGCGCTCCAATACAGCAACCGCGACGCAGCCGCTTGAGGAACTCAGTGTTTGCATTGTAGAGGCGTTCAAGTTTTTCTTTATGATTGTTGGAAGTTTCTTTTACTTTTGCCGGCGTATGCACCTGTTTATGTGCTTATTTACCTCTTGTTTGATGTTCTGTAGGCGATGATCCATTCGTTGGTGTAATTACACATTTAATATTACGATTCTTTACCCATGCAATTTATTAGTTTTTATGTGCACAGCTGTATTTGTGTAGTTGAAATATCAGGCTCAGACATGTTTGTGCGAATAGGAAGACGCCATACAGCAATATACAATCGAATGGGGCGACTTTCACCTACTTTTTATTGATACATAATAGAGCTCTAATGTAATGTATGGGTTGTATAGTGCGTATGGGAACGGGTGTAAAAGTGTTGTGCGAACTGCATAGTAGTATAAATGAACTGTTTGAACGATTAATACAGTTGGCTCTCATCACTGCAGTAAGGAGGGGCATGTGGAGTGCGACAGCAGGACAGCCCAATCTTTGAAGGCGGAAGGTGCATCGGATGGGTGTAAAGAGCGAAAGCGCAATTGAAAAAAGGCGCTAAATTCATCCGGTAAGGGGGGGGGGGGGGGCATTGTGATGCAACGTCTAATAGCTGCCCTCACCCCCACCCCCCTGAACTGGCTTCACTCCCCCTGGCTCACGGGGTCCCGTACTTCGAGAAACCTGTGCGCCAGGGGGAGTGTAGGCAGTCTAGGGGGTGGGGGTGAGGGCAGCCACTTGATGCCCCCCTTACTGGATGAGCGCCGAAAGAAAAAATTAAAATTTTCCGTAGGGGCAGTAACTATCGCATCTCTTCCCCCTTGGTAGAGACCCGACAGTGCATTATTTCTACGCGTATGTTTACATTTGTGATAGCAAAATTACGTTGGCGCACGCGATGTGCGCATGGCACTCTATGAAAATCCGTTGGGGAAAGTTTCCGCCTGTACCTTTTCGGAAGGTATGGAGTTTCGAGGAACTTCATGGCTTTTGGTACCAATGAAACCTTACACCACACCTGTGACTATCAGGGCGCGTACACGAAGTTTTGCGACATAAGTTTGAGCTCTCAAGGAGATCCGAGCCGATTCAGAGACAATTATCGAATTGATCCTAGTTCTCATATTTATTATAGATGTGCAGATTTGATAGAACTGGAGCTCTTTTGGAATTTTATCTGCTTGTTGTTGTTTTAGAAGTCGGTTCAGCAAGCACATAATGATGCTGTTGTGAAATCGACACAATGCATGCTTACCAGTGGATCACATGATTTGCCAAAACACTGCCGATTCTCACGCAGAGAACTTTACTCCAACGTGATTGAAATTTTCCAGCCATTACCACGATCATGAGATTCATTGGAATCGGTCGCGTTGAAGGGTAATGGTTCGTATTCATGTTTAAACCGAAATGCATTCGTTGCATCACTGCGGTCGGTCCGATCCTCATGCGTCTCCGATCGGTGTTACAATCGTTGTCAGAACCATTAACAATCAGCAGTAGTGTTTGGGTCAGCCTGCATGGCGCAGGTCCGAAAGGTGGGGGTAGATCGTATTCGAGCTATTTGGAAGGCAGTAGTAATTGAAGGTTGGCGAAGGCCATAAGGCAAAAAGGGGAGACGTATTTGTGGCATTTAGTGAGGTGGCGTTTGCAGGGAGTGGGACGCATCAGATCGTTTTGAAGATTTTGGCGAAGGAGGTTTCGTACTGGAAACCCTCCCCCCTAAGGCCCATGGGAGGTGGTTGGGGGAGGGTTCGTATCGAGTCCTCTTCTCAAGAGGAGTCGAGAGGCTGTCACATTTTTGGGGTTAGAGCAGCTACGGTTGACTGGCTACTATTTTCGTGAGGAATTGAAATATGACTACTCGATATCTTGGGTCACTCGTGGCTATCTTCTTTTGTTTTTACATTTGTGTACTACGGAATGCTTTGAATTGACATTCATGTACCAATTTGCTCTTCTCCTGCCATGCATTGAGATCGTACGAATCGGAGAGACAGAGAAGAATGAGCTGAGACCACTTTTTTTCTTGTCGGATGTGAAAGCCGGTTTTATATCGATTTCATATCGTGTACTCGTATCTCAAAGTGTTTCACGCTGGATAGTTGTCTTTTATGCTCATCGTGCTTCACCTTGTAAGATATGTGACTTATGATGTACAGTTGACTTTTTCAATCTTTCAGGGATGGGAGTACCAAAGTTTTATAGGTGGATATCGGAGAGGTATCCATGTTTGAGCGAAGTCATCAGTGACACGGAGGTTTGTTTTAGTTATTTTCTGTTTTCTTCTTAGGATACGCTTCCATTGGTGGAAAAGTACAGCTTTTTTCACGGGGCTTATTAATTGTTTCAAGAGTTTTTTGTTTTTTATAAGGCTAATAAGGGGCCAAAATCAGTCGAATATTTCGATGCACCCCCACCCCCCCCCCCTTCGGTCCTCTTTTTTGTAATTTTGCTTGGATTTTGCTGCAATTCGAGCACAGCCGGAAAGTTGAGCAAGTTAGAGCTTTTGCACCCGAATCTGGTACCGATGTGGTTGGGTTGAGCAGAACATGATTCGCGACTTGATCTGCTGGATTATGCGTGTGCAAGCGGCAGCACTTGACACTACATCACTTCTGCCCTTCAAAAATGTTATTTTTGGAAAATTTTGGTGTTCTGAAGCGCTGAGCGCTTAAATTCCAGCTTGTGCTCTAGGAAGAGTGGACATGGCATAGTTCACAATTCTTGCAAAATATCCAGTAATTAAGACGTCCACACTTATGATTCTTTCTACTTTTAGATCCCCGAATTCGATAACTTATACTTGGACATGAACGGAATTATACACAACTGCTCTCACCCTAATGACGATGACGTCAACTTCAGGATCTCTCAAGAGCAGATTTTCTCTGATATTTTTGCCTATATTGATGTGAGAATTTCATTTTCTAGTTTGAGGTGTCCATTTAATTCTGATCAGTTCGAAAGATGCGTTTTCAGAAGTTGTTCAACATTATTCGCCCCCAAAAAGTATTTTTCCTGGCGGTTGATGGTGTTGCTCCGAGAGCCAAGATGAATCAACAGCGTGCCAGCAGATGATTTGTTGCAATCTAGGATGTTCCTTTGTCGATATTTCTCTAGAATTGCCATTGGAGCTATCTGTGAGTCGACATTTCAAATTTTAAGGTCGGCGCGGACGGCTGCAGAGCAGGAGCAAGCGCATATGCGGAAAGGTGGGGAGCTTCCCACTGAAAAACGATTTGATTCTAACTGCATCACACCAGGTTAGTTCGATGAATTTTTTCGAACCAAAGTCTTACTTCTTTGTCATCAGTGATTCTGGCTTTATCGTGTCAGAGATTGTCATTAATCATGTAGCGCTTTAGCGCCAGCGTATTTCATTTTGAGATTACTGAACACCACAATTCAGGAAAATTGAATGGAGAGCGAGAGGTTAGGAGACTCTGTTTTGTGAAAGATTATTGGCGGCTTGGCGGTAACGGGCAGCTGTGTCACATTTTCTGAAAGCCAGGCACCTTTATTTTCATGAAAAGCGTACCAATTGAGTATATCTAGCATTGTTGTTGTCTCCTCTATGCCACTCCTCTCAGACTTATGAATGACATTTCTTCAAAATACGGGTTAGCGCTACTCGTAGTAGAACATCAGCTCGATTTCGATTCGGCGTATGTCCTCAAGCCTTTTCATCCAAGTGATTTGTTAGGTTGAAAACAACCAGTGATCAGTAGTAGCAATGCAGTGGCTGTATGGGGGATGGTGGAGAACTGCTCACCTCTATGAGCTCCTGAATGACCTTTTTTGCAACATGCGATCTGATCATTGATGACCTCACCCGTGGAGCACTCTCAATTGCAGGCTGCCTACAAGTTCGCGTCTCCAGCGTTAACGTATAGGATTCATCAGCTTCAGGGCTGTTTCTTGTTTTTTGAAGCGTTGACATCAGCGGCAGTCTGTCCGATAATTATAGGCAAGATGCTTATGGAATTTCTCTACTTTGGCTATTTTGGTCTCGGCTGTTTTCATAATTGAGGCGGGGTACGGCTACAAAGAAGGTCTGATAGCTCGCAGTGCTGACATCCATGGCAATAATCGTTCTATCAGGCCGCAAATAAAAGGAGCAGAGCAGTTGAATGTCCCACCATAACGAGTACTTCCCAAAAAATTTACTAACTTAAAAGGATCTGGCAGCATGTTCTATTAAATGATTCATGAATTGAATGTCATTGAATGGAGTAGGAAGTTTATGCGTCCGCAAGATTGTGTCTATTGTTTCTATATCTCTCCTTATCAACTTTATACACACATTTATGGTAAGATGTGATTTTCCACTTGCAGGCACGTTTTCATGGCGGAGCTTCACAAGGCGCTCTTTACCTGGATTGGGATGCATAGATTGAAAGAATTCCAGCTTGAAAAAGACCCACCATACGAGTGTATCTATCGACACGATGTTGGTGCTTGTGATGCTTGGTTTGGCAAATTTAAGCAGTCAAAAGCATCCATAACTATTCTCATTGAATTCCTTAGTCGGAAACGGTACGCCGATTTACTAAGCCGGTGACGGGGAAGGGGAAATACGTCCTTCTGATTCTCATATTTCTAACTGGGATGTCGAAAAGGGCGTATCTGGATTGCAGCCTATGCGTGCGAATGGGAAAAGATGCTGAAAGCAAACAAACTCATTTCTCTTCTTCCCGATCGGGAGGCTCACCATGTGGCTTCCGCGTACGTAGTCTTTTCTAAAATGATGTATTCAGTGTCCTGGAGAGGGCGAACACAAAATAATGGAGTTTATTCGACATGAAAGAATTGCGGATGGGTACGACCCCAATACTCGGCATTGTATGTATGGACTTGACGCAGATTTGGTATGTAAATCATTTACTTTCACGAATAGGTTGTAGTCACACGATTGAGATCTTTAGTTGATGCTCGGCATATGCTCTCACGAGCCTCACTTCTCATTACTACGAGAAGAAGTGAAAGTTCAGCCGGCCTCCATCGAAGAAAAGTGGAGCTGCCTCTGCTCAAAGGTTTTGGACAGTTTTCGCGTGTAGCTGCGAGATAAAAATGCTCATTTTTCTACTTCCAGAGCAAATCCGTCTCAAACCAATTTTCATCTCCTACACCTTTCTCTACTCAGAGAGTATCTTTCATGGGAATTTGATCCTCTGAAGGTATGACTGGGCTTCTGTGAATTTTGGTTTATGTGTTTTTTTTCGTTCAGTGGAAATCTGACGCAAATGAATGTTATAGACGTCTTTACCATTTCCTTACGATATCGATAGAATAGTGGATGACTGGGTTTTGATGGGTTTCCTTGTTGGAAATGATTTCATTCCCTCATCTCCCACATGTTCACATTCATGACGATGCACTTCCTCTGCTATATCAGACGTATATTCAAGTTTTACCAACGTTAGACGGTATGTTTGCTTTCCCGCTTCCAATTTCAATGTTCAGGTCCGTGAAAATAAGAGGCCCATTGCAGTGTTTGCGGAAGAGAACCGTATTCTATTGTGCTCAATTCATTGCAGGTTATATTAATGAATCTGGAATTCTTCATTTGAAACGTTTTGAAGTGTTCTTGAAAGCTTTTGCTGCAAACGATCGTAAACATTTTCTACAAGTAATGGAAGACGAGAGTTATCTTCGAAGCAAGAGGTCTTATGATCCAGGAGAAGGAGGTATGCCTAATTTCTCACTTCTTTTCAAACAAAAGTGTGAAATCTTTGGAACTATTTCGTAGCATGGTCAAATTATCGAAGAGTCATCTCTGTCAAGCGCTGAGTCTAGTGATGAGTGCGAAGAGACAACAGAGGATTCACTTGAAGACGAAGCAGCTTTCGTTAGTAGTGACGAAGAGGCGGATATTGGCGAAATTGCTAATCGAATACCAGACGGTGGTCTTCCGTCTGCTTCGTACCTTTTGACTCATCTCAACAGTGGTGCGTTACAGTGGGTACTGAGTTGACTTAAAGTTAGATTTGTTCTATTTCAGATGATGATCAAGATGAAAGCGAGCTTTGCGAAGCACTCATGGCAGCTGAGCTGAGAGAAATGGATGACAAACTCTTTGAAAATGACGTAGATGTAAGTATTTTCTTTTCAAACTTTTCAAATCAGGTAAAAAAATTTTGAACAGATAATCATGTTTTAGAATTGCTGGACCAAAAGTGTGAGTAACTCATTCCGTCGGCACAAGCGATCGTATTATCGTGAAAAATTGCAGTGAGTCATGTGTCCTACTTTGGGACCAAATAGTTCCCACGGTTTTGTTTTTTGTCGACACGGTGTTGAGTGGAGTGTTAAAGACACGCTCACTAGAACACTCCCCTCGCAGAGTTGGTAAAAAAATCAGTCATTTTGTTCCTATGTACTTCGACAGAAGTGGATAATTTGGCTCCAATTTCTACATAACGGAGTATTTCAGATCAACCAGTGGATAATCCTCTTACTCAAAAGAATAAACTAAATCTTTCGAACTAGTTTTCCTTTATATCTTGACTCTACTTAGAAAAAAGCCAATCTTTTGGTTTCTTTCTAGCTCGTTGGACTTTATGACAATGTTACAGCAGAGCGAGAACCATAACTCCTCCTAGTCGCCGATAGTTCCGTGTTTGTTTATAGAATGTAGTTTCTATGGCTTCCCATATCGTAAGCATAAATTAAATGAATAGTATTCTTGCTCACTGCCTTGCTGTCTTAGCGCGCAACCTACAAAAACACGATTTGCGACGCTTCTTTGTCTTCTAGCCAAGTGGTGTATGATCATCGCTGCTTAACGAAGCGGTTCAGTAAATAGGACATGTAAAAAGGGCAGAAGGCAAGCATGCATACTGCGAAAGGTTCGCAAGTCCCCAAGGAGGTGAGTTGAGGCATGTGTCGCCACAAAGAGCGCGTCCACTGCCCGTTAGCTAATCCCAAACATTGAACGCCACCTGCCTGTTCGATTCTATGCCTTTCCCACGTACTTTGATTTTATTTTGAAGGGTAATTTTATGTGCAGCGGGCGTATGTTTAGTTTTTTTCTAGGTTATGCGTCATTAAGGAAGATTATGCTTGTTGATATGATAACAGCTATCGGGGCTAGCGTGTGCAAGCGAGCCCATCTTCGTATCTGGAGCGTCCAAAGCAAAAACGAGAAAAGGGCTTAAGTCTTCTCATAGGCCTTTTCTCCGAGTTTTCTTGACCAGTCACCCTAATGCCCGCCCCCCCGCCCTCTCCCTATGCAGCAATCTCCTAACTTCAGCTCATGATAGATTTTTCCTCCTTTAATTATTTGGGCACGTTGGGTGAAGTCAGAAATAATCGCTTAAGTGCGTGCTTTTGAGTAGACTAACAAAATTCTTGATAGAAAATTAGTTACAAAGAGGCCGTCTTCTTGAAACCTTTCTTTGCAAAAAAAAAGTGCACAAAAAACTATCTCTGAGGAGAGTAGTGGTTATCAAGCCCTAAATATGCATACTACGGTCCTTGGATGTCTTGCGCTTGTATTACATAGGTATTTTCATTTCAAGGTATGAAAACATTCACAAAAACTGAATTACGTCAACAGGCAGAAGGATATGTGAGAGCCATTCAATGGAATCTTCATTACTACTACCGTGGCTGCGTGTCATGGAACTGGTTAGTATTTCCTTCCGGAGTCCTCAAAAATATCGCCTAATTATTAAGTTATAGGTTTTATCCTCATCACTACTCACCATACATATCAGATGTTGTCGATTTTTCCGACATGGATTTAACTTTTGAGCTTGGTGAGCCGTTCAAACCGTTTGAGCAGTTGTTGGCCGTGCTTCCCGCCGCTAGCGCAGAATGCCTCCCGCAGCCATTGAGGGTATAGCGTACAATTCTTTATTCCTGCTTTTTTTGTTGGTTCAAGTCAGTGTAACGGTGTCAAAAGCTCTACTTTAAGGATCTCATGTGTAACAAAGAGTCGCCGATCTCCGATTTTTACCCGACTGATTTCCGTACCGATTTGAATGGGAAGAAAAATGACTGGGAAGCAGTTGTGCTTATTCCTTTTATTGATGAAAAAAGGTTGTTATCTGCCATGGAAAGCAAGGTACCTAAATAATCAAATGTTACTTGATTTACAATATAATATTCTATGCGAACTGTAGATGCCTCTCCTGACACCGGAAGAAAAGTTCCGAAACACTCCAGGCAGCATTCTTCTTTACAGTTCAACAGAAGCGGCAAAGTGAGCTGATTGCTTTTTGGTCTCTCTTTAGCTGTGAATATTCCGCAAAATATGTTCAGGCCCGTTCAACTTCCGGTGGATGCATTCTATTTAAATCCTGACAAGGTCATCTGGGGATTACTCCCAAATGTAAAATTGGATGTATACTTCCCCGGCTTCCCTACAATGAAGCACTTGCCGCATACTGCTAAACTTCAGCAGGTCAAGAATCCTCATTTTCTGCCAAGAACAGTTTGTTTTCCAGTGGACTGTTCTCAAAGTTACTTATTGCAGGTCAATGTCAAGGTTTTCCAACAAGAATCTAAGCGCCCGTCTATGGTTCTAACTATTCAGAAGAGGGATGAATTTGAAAAGGTTGAAAAAAGTTATTTTGAGGCTCATAATTTCAATCATTTTATTGCTAATCATTCCTTAGGATATGCTGAACGTTGCGAGGGACATCATAGACAAAGAAGTGTGCATCGACTGGCCAATTCTGAAGGTGATTGAAATTTCCATCTAATTTCTTCTTTTCTAGTATTCATAATAACTTCGTATAGTATACATTATACGAACGTACGAGCTTGGAGATGTAAATGAAGTCGGATTGACTGATGATGAGAAAGAGGTGATGAAGTCGATATTGCGTAACGAGAAAGAAAGGTAGGAGCTGGCAGATCGATCACAGATTTTGCGTTTGTAAAACTTTCTATTCTAGAATGCTATCTCGGTTTGGCATTGATGCTAACCTTTCACGCGCAATTGTGTTCGTGCGCCGTTTTGTCGGTATAACTTACATAGTGGAAGAGGGAGTCCTTCACCCTCAGAAACAGTGGCTGGGACCAAGCGCTGTTGTCCCTGTTCTTCTACCTCTTCTTGTCACGGTAGTGCTTTTGATGACATAATTTATAATTCAAAAAATAAAAATGACACAATTTTTAGAATGTGACTGTCGATTGCGGTCGAAGCTTACGGGATATTCCTGTCGCAGAGGCTTATCCAAAACATTCGAAGGTTGGATAAATTAAACACTTCTTCTATCAGAATGAATAGTTTATTAATTTCAGGTTTTTGCTATGCTACCATCCTGGGAAGGGTTCGGATATCCAGCTCTTGTCGACGCAGTTGATAGCGATGGTGCTTTTTTTTCAACATATTAAGCGCAGCATCATTATTCCTGTAAACAATTACTAGTTGCATCCCTTATTTCTAACGGCACAATCTTCTCTAAGATATCCACTTACTTGTTCACGTCCAACATCATCACGGCATTTTTGGGCAGTTGTTATCATATTTATAATATTTTGTTCTTCTTCCCTTCAATCCTGCCTTTTTTCTGCACTATTTGCTAATCACGTGATCTCTTTCCCTGTTTTTTCATCATTTAGCGCAGTTCTAATACAGATGTCCCCTTACACAAGGTTCCTGGATGATGTGGAAACGTGTGTTAGAGGGCCTCATTCCGAACTTTCCTCTTGGTTGAAGCCTGCTTTGTTCCTGGTTCCGAGCGACCTGATGTTTAAACTTAGGAATCTTCTACTTACTCAACGAAATGAATTTTACATTTTTCAGGCGGACATACACTAATACAAATTTATGGCGGGATCTTATTGTGGTTATATGATTCAATCACGTTTAGGTAGAGTACGCTTGACAGTGTCAATATGGCCGACTGTGGATCTTGCTCCCATTGTCGAGTCTTACGATAATCTGAGTATGCAGTGGATGAGCAATTATGACGCTGGTCGTAGAATCGGAGGTAAGTTTTTCAGATAATAAAATCATTTTTTTTCATTTTATTTTAAAAATTATAGTCGATGGTCGCTTGTTGTCACGGATTACTGGAACAGTGTTCCTTCTGTATGAGCACGCTCCAGAATCGGAAGGAGCGCCTCCTGTGCCAGAAAGAATTAATATAGGACTGGCCCTCAAATTGTCGAAAAGAAATCAAGAGGCACGCTCATTTTAGGGTTGCCCTCTACGAAATGAGAGTCTTATTCGAATACTTGATATTTTAGATTGCTGACTACACACGTCGACTTGAAAATGGGTATTGGCAATATTCTAACCTTTGTGTTCAGCTTCTCAGTAGCTACAGAAATAAGTGTGTTTAGTTCTTTCTTTGTAGATGTCTTCTTCTCGTAGGGATATTAGTTCAAAAAATGCTTTATTGTGCAAGAAGCTTGTTTTAATCATTATCACACAGTCATCCCCCATTTTTCCACTGCGAAATTCTAGTATTGCTCTATTATACATCAGAAAAAAAGGCCATAAGTAAATGCAGGCTAAATTTGGACTTCAGAAAGAAATTCAAAAAATATGATTTCCTTCATCAAGTCGCTGTTACAGATTTCGCGATCTGTTCGCTTTCCTTGAGAAATCTCACACTCCTGACGACGCTTACCTGGCTAGTGATATATGGGAGAACGAAGCCAGACGGAAGGTAGGTCTCGTACCTGTTCATCTAGCCCTTTGGTATGGCTTATGTCGCTGAGCTCTGCATGTTAACCATGTTATTGGCGAAAAACCTTGCCTTTACCGAGACGTTACACAGATCTCGCCATACCACGGCATCCTAGCTCGAGTCCTATAAGGCAGCAAAGGTCTATTTCATGACTGCATGGTTATGGGAACGTTGCACCTCAAATCGCAGCGAAACAGTGCTTAACAAAAGAAAACAAGGACGATTTAAATTTTTAAGGGCGAAATGGAATTGGTTGATGAGTAGTTGAGAAATCAAGAGTACGCAGCGATCAGCATTTCCTGAATAAACGTTCCAAAAAGGAAAGGAAAATGGATGCTATAGTGTAGAAAGGTTTTATAGGAGCGTGTGTCTGAATTGAAAGAGTTCCTGTGCAGCGTTCCAACGTACGGTATGGAAAAGCAGGAAGGTGGAAAGCAGTATGTCGATCGCCTTGTTATAGGTGAATTTTTGTTTCGGTTGCTCCATGTTCTGTTTTGTGTTTTAGAATGATATTAACTTGAACTCAAGTTCAGAAGTTGAGACGTTTCCCAATGTGTACTTTCCTCATTTTCTCGACGTACCTAATTTATTGTATCAATTTCAGCTCATATAGAAAATGCCATCAAGGAGGTGCCAAAGAAGCGGTGGGGATTCCGGAAGTGTGCTATTAATCCCGGTGTTCTATATCGAGTACGTCAATTTGTGATTTGGTTCATAATTGTGATCATTTTTGAAATAATGACATGCAGCCGAGCAGTTTCAGGCTGAGCTGTACGGTGGCAAATGCTGTGCTGATCCAGATGCTGATTTCATATTGCTAGATCGGGTTGTTTATACTTTACAGGTGAGATAAGATTAATTTTGTCTACGTTT